AAAAAAAAAATGGCCATAAATTACGTTTGCCTTTAACGATATCAGCAAAAATGAACCTCAAACGCGAACTTCTTTTTATTGTTTTTTTTTCTACACTTTCAAGCCCCCAGGCGGAAAATGCCGACTCACGGAGTTGCGACGCGCGCGACTCGGATCGCCGCCGCGCAGCAAAAATAAATAAAAAAACATAGGGGAGGGGGGGGGGGGGGGACCTATCTGTTTGCGAGCGTTACGTTTTACGTACAGTCGGGAGCAAAAGTTTGCGGGGCACGGGAGCGCGTGCCAATACGCATCGCCGCGCCGTCCGACGGCGCGCCGCTGCATTAAGGAGACGCGCTTTGCGCATGCGCGGCTTCCGTGCTCGCAATCGTGTCTCTTTCGCTCGTTTCTTTTCGACCCACTCCTGATAACAGGAGTCGGCGCCAGGGGCGCGAGTTAGCGCTTCGCTGGGTGTCATGCTGTGCGTCTACTTCAGCCGCCTCAGCCACCGCGCTTTGTCATGGAGGTCGCGTAGGGGGAAGAGGGGGGGGGGGGGGGGGGGGGTAACCAGGCGCTCCGTCACCCAGCGCGGTTGCTGAGGCAGCTGAAGAGGACGCGAGGCATGACAGCCAGCGAAACGTCAACTTGCGCCCCTGGCGCCGACTGCGGTTATCAGGAGTGAGTCGGACAGAAACGAGCGAAATAGATATGACTGCCAGCACGAAGGGCGCGCATGCGCAAAGCGCAGCTTTTAAAGCGGTGGAGCGCCGTTGCACGGCGCGGCGATGCATTTCGGCACGCGCTCCCGTGCCCCGCAAACTTTTGCTCCCGACTGTACGACATCAAACTGCTCCCCGAACATTCGCAACGCCACCATGTTCAAAGTCAGCGCGTGTCACGTTACCTCACCCAAGTACAAAAATTACGAAAGATAAACTTAACGTTTTTCCTTATCGCCATGTTTTCTAATATTTCCGAGACGCTCCCGAAGTAAAAACTTGGCTTCGAAGCACCTCGGCTAGCGGACGTCCCTCGCACATGTTCCTGCTTGCGACTCCGACGTTGCGGAGCTGAAAACAGGACAGTGCGCACACCATACGAGAATCCTAACTTCAAAGTTCAAACTAAAATGCCGTTCACAGACTTGCAACCTAGTGAGACCCAGAGACAAGACCGGTTTTTAAGCCTCCTGCGATGCGCTGCTGCGTAGAAGGTCTTACGCCGTCGTAAGAGGCTTAAAAACCGCTCCCGTCTCTGTCGGTCCTCCTCGGTTGCAAGTGTGAACGGCGCTAGACTTGCACGGCATGCGACACAAAGACACTTAACTAAAAAACGCTGGCGCGCGCAAAAAAAAAAAAAAAAAAAAGATAAAAAGATTTAATTTACCTCCGGAGGTCACCGGCAGCGGGTCGTCAGTAAGGCCCCTGAATAAAGACGGTAGCGACATCAGCACCATCCTCCTCTTACGCGCGCACACTTTCTATGTTCATTTTTTTGTACTCTCGCATTCGCGCATGGACGGTAGCGCCGCCTGGATTGCTCCAAGATAGCGACTGATGCACAGACTATAAAGAGCACTGTCACGGTACACCCTCTGCGTTTAAGTGGATGAACCGCGAAGAATATTCTCGAAAAAAGACGATAGAAACCGTGACCTTACACTTTCGGCGTTACTTGATTGGAGGAGAACTCCTCCTTCCCCGTGCACGCTCCTTTATCTGAATTTTTTGCTCTTTCGCACCAAATACGATATGGTCGGAACTCCTCCGAAAACCTAACGGGGCGGCGGCGAACGTGACAGTGGCGCCTCTCGCGGACATGGGGTCTACGGAAGCAGACGACGCAATGGGAAGTTATACGCCTCGCAAGTGGGTCATTTTCGTCTTCTGCGCATGAGAAAGGAAGTAGCGGTGACATCGGAACGCCGAGCCCTGACTGGTTGATCGCGACCCCCTGTCTGAGCGTCGTCTGCTCCTTTGCAACGTCGTCTGCTTGCAACGTCGTCTGCGTCTGCCTTACCTTTCCCGCGACTTTCGGAAGTCAAGCGAGCTCGACTTCGCCTTTCAGAGAGGGCAGACGAAATAACTCGAGCGGTACGTTGTTTTTGTCTGACAACTAGCAGACGCGCATTAAGGAAGGAAGTCAAAGGACTCACTGGCGAGGTGTCCCGAGGCGCCGAGGTTTATTTGCTAAGAACCGAGAGTGAGCGTGTCAGTGTCCGCAGGTTCCCTCCCAAATACTTTTTCCCTCCTTTCGTGTGCGGCGAGACTCCTCACTCTTGAACGGCGTCGGCGGGTTGGCGCAGTTAACGTCGTCTGCTTTACGTCTGCTAATCAAAGCGATGGCTGCTTTACCTTTCCTGCGTCTGTCGGAGATTCACCGCTTTTTCCCCGGCGAGTGTCACCGTTGCCTCGGAAAACAAGGAGATGACAAGAGCAAGAGATTGACCTCTTAATCTAAAATTGAGGTCAGCGATCAAAGTATAAGACGGGAAGGGTTCACAAGGGTCCCGCGGGCATATTCCATTCAGCACGCCAGCCGGTCGTGGGCAGACGGTCGCCGGCAGTTCACCTTCACGGAGTATTAAAATTTCAGAACTCGTCCGGAATTCCCCTGTCGGGATTCATTGACTTAATAGAGCTGTACCTTCGGTCCACGCTTGTAGAGCATGATGGAAAAGTGTTTAAGCAAAAGTCAGGCATGTGCATAGGTTCTTGCCTCGCTCCCGCCCTGAGCGAGATATACCTATTTTTCGTCGACCAAGCTATTCAAAAGGCGCTCACGACCCTGTCCCAGGGACATCAGTTTAGCGGTATGTGAACGACTACCTGATCTTTCACACGTTGGATTCCACAAAAATCGAGGAGGCGTTCTCGAACAACTCGTTCGGCCTCAAATTCACAAAAGAAGACTCAACGTCCGAGGGACTCGAATTTCTGGACTTCCGGCTTCGGCCTACAGGATCCGGTCTTTGCTGGTCGTTCCAGCAGAGGTCGTGCAAGCCCCTGCTCCCGTTTATTAGCTACCACTCCAAAACCGTAAAAAAAAGGATAGTAAAGACCTATTTGACGTCCTCTAGGACTAAGTCCTGCCTCCATTGGGTAGCTAAGAGTTGCTCTATGCAAAGCTCTCGCTTGATCAAGGCCGGTTACCCCTAGGATCTGCTGGAAATGACCCATGACGGGGAAATGACACTAAAGCGCATAATAATTCGACAAACATGAATCAAAAGAGGGCAGGGTTCACCTGCGTCATCGATGCGTGCATGCCGTACATCCACAGCACAACACAACACCGCATCAAGTCTTTGGTTGCTGGGTTTGGCACAAAAGTGTTCTTTACTTCCCGCTTCAGGCTATCTTACATATGCCAAATGGTCAATTCTCGCGGCCCCCCGAAAGCCTGCCCCAAAAAGCACGCCACACTCTATCTAACCGTGCAAGAAATAACCTGTTTAATCCATCCCCCTCAGCTGCGGCTCCCAATGCACTGGCCGGTCCGGCCGATGTGTCAACGACAGAGTTCGGGAGCATGCCACTGAAGTAAAAGCACCGCCCTCAACCCTTCTGTCCCGAGTCATCACCCTATAGCCGAACATGTCGCGACCTGGGCATCGTGTACCCCTGACTTTGACGCCACTTCCGTACTAGCTTCGCACAGGTCGAGGTACGCACAGGTTGAGGTACGGATAGTACGGACTAAGTTGCCTTCGTATCCTCCCCCTTCCTCAGGAGAGGAGAGCCCGGCCCGTCGAAGTCGTCAATAAACGTTCGCTGTCTGTTGGGAAACGTCTTGTCCGTCCTCGTCGTTTAAGGGGTATTCACACGAGGGAGAAATCCCGGGGATTTCTCCCCGGCACGCGCATCCCACGACGAAAACGTCAGGCTTTGCGTTGTGCAAAAGCCTCGCGTTTTTATCTCGTGATGCGCGCGTGCCGGGGAGAAATCCCCGGGATTTCTCCCTCGTGTGAATACCCCTTTATGTTCGTCCATTATTTATAGTTTACCCTTACCAGCGTGCTCTCCATTCCAAGTAAAAATCACCCGCTGCCCGCTAATCGAACTTGCGTGCGAAGCGGAGGCTTTACCACTAAGCTACGCCACAGCGTTAACAATGCACTGCACGTGGTTCCAGGAAAAAGAAAAATAGCCCATAACAAAATGCTGTTGCAGCACTTTCAATGCTAAGAGCTCGTGACGAGAGACGGCGCTCTCATGTGCTCCGGGACAAAAAAAGAAATAAAAGCTATCGGAACAAAATGGAACAAAACAAAAGTGTTCGGAACAAAACAGATGTGTGTTTTGTTCCGAACACTTTTGTTTGGTATCCCGCGGTGCGTGAATACTCCGCCGACGCACAACGACTTAGCCGCGACGTGTCTCTGCAGCTATTACAGTGACTGTATTGTGAGTTAACGCAGTACTGCTCTTTCTATTTTTTTTTTCGCTTTAGCGGGCAGAAAAGGGCGGTAGGGTACAGCGCGAGCAGCAAAAGCTCATTGGGATTGGGATTTCGACACCAGCGTCACACGCGGCTTTTAACACCCTTGGCTTCACATGACCGATGGTGCTCTGCCTCTGCCGCTGCTTTTTTCACTATGCTTTTAGTTCTGGTTCACTGTAGTATAGTTCACTTACTATGTTCGCATTTCAAAAAGAAAATACGAATCTGGAAGCAACAGCACAAAGAAGGACAAGGACGGCAGAGGAGACACACATAGCAAAGCATATTTTTTTCCAAACTAGACTGCCGACTAAATTTAACGAAACATTTAACTGTTATATCAGAAAGGAAGTTCTGTGGCTGGCTTCAGGAGCTAGCTATCGATCATTTAGAAATGTAATGAAGAGGGATGAGTCGATTTAATTTTTTTTTAAAGTTGTCAGTCCAGTGACATAGCAACAGAAGACGAAAAAGAAAAAGAAGAAAAAAAAAAGAAATAAAGTGGTGGCCGGCTCCGGCGCAGGAATGGCCGGCGACACCTCCTACGGTCCAGTTTTCTCAATCACCGCCTGCCTTTCATGGGGAACTGCTTCCAGCTCAGCTCAGACGTCATCAACTGGCTACCCGTGCTCTTTGGGGTCGCCATGTTCGCCTGGTCTTATTACGCCTACGTCATTGCCTTCTGCTTCGGTCTTGTCAGCACAGACCTGGAGCGGATCCTCTACGCCGTCGGCTTCCACATGTGTCTCTTCATGTGCCTGTGGGCGTACGTGCAGACAATCATCACGCCCATCCCGGTCGTGCCACGCTACTTCCAATTGAACGACACGGAACACCACATGCTGAACCAAACCGCCGACTTCGAGGCGCACAAGGGCTTCCTCGAAGTGCTCGGCCAGAACCGGGGCATCCTGACCCGAGCTGCGGACGGGAGCGTCCGCTACTGCGAGGCCTGCCGACTCGTCAAGCCCGACCGGTGCCACCACTGCTCCTCCTGCCGCAAGTGCGTGCCCAAGATGGACCACCACTGCCCCTGGTTCAACAACTGCGTCTGCTTCAGCACCTACAAGTTCTTCCTCTTGACGCTCTTCTACCTCGTCGTGACGTCGGTGTTTGTGGTCGGGACCACCATCGGTTACGTCAAGCATACCTGGCTGAACGTTGGGGACAGGTTCGCTGTCACGTTTCATCTTACGATCCTGGTGATCCTGGGAGTCGTGATACCCATCTTCATTGGCTCGTTCCTCTATTTTCATCTGATGCTCGTTTGTAAGAACGAAACCACGCTGGAAGGTCTTCGGGGACCGATTTTCAAGAATCCCGGCGATTCGTTCAACATTGGCTGCTATGACAACATTGTCGAAGTCTTAGGGCCGAACCAGCTGTTGTGGCTGGTGCCGGTCTCCACGAGCGTTGGAGACGGCACGCGGTTTCCTACCAGGTTACATCCCAACAGGAATGTTTTTGGAAACCCTGTTTGAATATGAGTGTCTGATCTCTTTTGACTCTTGATAACCCCATGACTGAATGCATTCGCGGTTGCAGCTGGCACGGACGAGGAGGCATTCAGACGCTCGCGCTTCCACTTCTGCCAGACTCCGAGGGATTTCAGCGTTGACTCGTGGGCGATCTGATTAGTCTCATAGTCCGCGTTACATTGCCGCTTTTTAAATATAGTTGGACAGCATCGTTTTGCTGGCATTGAAATACCGCCTTCATACGTTCTGACATGTGTCTTGCATAGCCTACAGTGGGTATGTCACAAGCTACCACGAGCAAATTATTGATAGTTTTTTTTTTCTGCGCTTCGCCCCAGTAAATCACGGGGCCGGGTGGTAAAATAGGTGAATCTAAATTAATTAAATTAATTAATAATTAATTAATTAATAATTTATTTACAAATACCCTCAGGGGCATTACAGAGGGGAGTTGTGGTTCAGTGCGAGCCGAAAATTGGTGTTATCTGTGATGGTGACGATGTTATCGGGAAGGCCATTCCAGTCCACAATAGTGAATACTGGTGGGCTGTAGATTTTGTCTTGGGTAGGGCAATCCTGCATGTGTGGTCCAGCCTTGAAGAAACATAGTTGGGTGGGCTAAGGAGAGACTGATTTAAAGAGGGAGAGTAATACACTTTATGCAGGAGGGAAAGCCTGGAAGTTTTTCGATTCTGTTTTTTTTTTTGTTTTGTTTACTGTACGTCACTGATTTCATTATAGCCCCATCTTTTTCTATATTTTATGTGCGTGTTCTTGAATGAATTTATTCTTGTGATATCGACCGTATGCAAATAGTGATAACTTGCCAATGGAGCAACTCGACAGAAAAATGCACTCCCACAAGAGCGAACGGGGATGGTTGGCCTCGGAGGTATTTCTTTTGTGTTGAAAGGAACAGGCAGCGAGACGGGGACGTTCCAAAACAACGTTCTATTTCTGTGGTGTCTTGTCAGGAACTGCTCTTCGTGAGCGCGTGAGCGTATAGCTAGAGCGCGCGCCTTTTTCTCTTTTTCCAGTGCCGAGACTAGACTTGCTTGTCGGTGCGTCCAGTCCCTACAGATATTCCCCCTTGGGGCTCATTCACACTGGAAGCGGATCCGCGTTCGCAAAGCGGTTGCGAACGCGGTTGTATAAGGATTCAGTACAATTGCACGCGCACACGATGACATCAAATGCGCGTGCAATTGCACTGGATCTTTATACAACCGCTTTCGCAACCGCTTCGCGAACGCGGATCCGCTTCCAGTGTGAATGGGGGGTTAAGGTGTATCCACACGACGGACCGGGCCGCGGACCGATTGATCACGTGATGCGCGGCCCGCGGGCCGCCCGGCTGCAATGAGCATCCACACGGCGGACCAAAAGAGCAGACGACAGAGTGAACGGGCCGGTCTAACCCTCGACCTCACAGCTCCGCCAAACGCATGCAACGAGCTGCTTTGAGGCTATTTGTAAGCAGCCAAGATGGAGGTTGAACGAAAGAGACGTTTGGCCGCGGTGGCCCTGGCGTTGACTATTGAGGACGAGGAGGACTTAAGTGAAGCGAAAAAGGCATGGGGACATCTTTAGATGATTATTTGAGTAGTCGTCGCGACTATTGTCCCACAGAGCGGGGAATTGCTCCACAAGCGCGATGAAGTAAAAAGTTGCATTGTCGCACAACAAAAGGTTCGTCTCTTCGTCTTCAACAGTTGGCGGCAAAGGAAAACGACTTTGGATTTGGATTCCAATGCAAACAAGAAAAGCCAGCTTGTTGCCAAACTTAGCGCTTCAATTATACTAAAAACGCCTCGGTCCGCCGCCAAGGTCCGGGCGAGAAAAGTCGCTTGGCATTTCTCAGAAGCGCGGGCCGCGGACCACCGGCGGACCTCGAAAACCGGTGACGTAAGATCACGTGATGCGCGGCCCGCGGACCAAAACAGCAATTTGGTCCGTCGTGTGGATACACCTTTAGAGGGGATGTAGGACGAACGATCAAAGCACAAACATCCGGGTGCCAAAGAAGTTGGCGTTTCTCCGTCGTGTGGTCGATGTCACGTAGCGCTATTTGCTGCACACGCGCTTGCTCAATATGTACCGGCTTTAGTCTTTCCAGTGCAACGGTGTCGTTCTTGCCGTTGACACGCAGGACAAACGTGTCGCTTCTCTTTTCGACGACTGGAAAAGGTCCGATGTGATGTGGGCGCAGTGGCTTCTTTTGCGACTGTCGTACGAAAACATGAGTGGCGTCTTAGATCGCTCCTGGGTGACGTAGGGAGACTTTGAAGTTTCTTGCCATGTAGGCACCGGTCGCAAATCGATAAAAATTTGCTTCAGCTCTTCTACATAGTCCAACTGCCTTTGTTGTTCAAGCAATTCTATTAAAAAAAAAAAAAAAAACTGATGGCAGGTGAAGTGCAGTGGAGCATTCGATGTCCGCCTTCAAAGCCGTCCGGATTCAGAGAAGCGCGAGGGGGAGATGGAGAACCCAATCCGAGGGACCACCCTGAGCTGCAAGGGCAGATTTCAAACGTCGATGAAATCGTTCTACCATCCCGTTTGACTGTGGGTGGTAGGCAGCTGTTCTCAAGCGGTTGGTTCCGAGCAATCAAGTGAGCTCGGCAAAGAGTGCCGATTCAAATTGTCGACCCCTGTCGGTGACAATCTCTGAGGGGCAGCCAAGCCGGGATACCCACGTAACGATAAGCGCCTCAGCGACGGTGGCGGCGGTGATATCGGGCAGTGGGGTTGCCTCTGGCCATCGTGTGAATCAGTCGACACACGTTAGGATGTGCTGTCCCTGAGAAATCGGTAGGGGTCCAACCATGGTCAGATGTCTCTTGTTGAAACGGCTGTCAGGCTTTAGGAATTGTCGACTTGGTGGTACCGGATGCCGCTGTACTTTCGCGCACTGGCATGCGATGCAGGAACGCACCAATTCACGAACGTCGGATATTATCCGGGGTCAAACGTAGCAGTCGCACAGGAGCTTCTGGGATGCTCGTACACCCGGGTGCGACAAGCAGTGAATCGCTTCGAAAAGCTGTCGTCGCAGTTCACGTGGTACAAAAGGCCTAGGAGTTCCCGTTGACAGGTCGCAGACTACGGTGGTGCCTTCTGGAAAGCTTAAATCCCGCAGTTGCAATGATGTGGATGAACTGCGCAGGGCATGCCATTCTTCGTCGGTGGTCTATAGACGGGCCAGCAACTCCAAGTCTACAGCAGAACAGGCTGGGGTGTTCACGGCGTCAATCCGGCTGAGGACATCAGCGGGGAAGTTGTCAACTCCTTTAACGTGCCGAATGTCCGTTGTGAATTCGGCCAAGAAGGCTAGCTGGCGAATCTCAAGTGGTGTGTAATGAGACCCGGAATTGCTGATGGCGTAAGTTAGGGGCTTGTGGTCAGTCCATATGGTAAATGGCCATCCCTCGACGAAATGTCGAAAGTGTCGTACAGCCAAGTAGGCAGCCAATAGCTCACGTCCGAAAACGCTGTAGCGCGTTTGGGCTGGCTTGAGCTTCTTAGAAATGAAACCAATCGGCCGCCACTCTCCGTTGACTTTTTGTTGTAGCACCACTTCTACGACTGTGGCAGATGCGTCAGCCATCAGCGATGGTTGGGCATCATGCTTAGGATGTACTAGAATTGTTGCTTCTGCAAGTGAGCTCTTTACCTCGCCGGAAGCGCGTTCCGCATCTTCGTTCCAATGAAGGGATGACGTTTTTCGCTCTTGTTTCGTTGGGAGGACCTCAAGATGTTCGAGCAGTTTGGCGCAGTTCTGAACGAAACGTCGGTAAAGATTTACCAAACCGAGAAACTGGCGAAGTTTGGTGGTCGAAGTCGGCCTCGGGAAATCTTTGATGGCTTGTACCTTTGATGGCAATGGACGGATGCCCGAGGAGTCAAGCCGATGACCAAGAAATTTCAATTCCGGAACTCCGAACACACGTTTCGCGGCGTTGATGACAATGCCGTGGCTGCGCAGTCGTTCGAAGAGGAGGTCTAAGCGGGTCGTGTGCTCTTCCGGTGACTCGCTGGCTATGAGCAAATTGTCTACGTACGCAAAGACAAAAGGTAACCCTCGTGTGACAGCGTCGATGTACCGTTGGAATGACTGAGCCGCATTTCTGAGGCCGAAGGGCATGCGGAGAAATTCAAGAAGTCCAAACGGCGTTATGATCGCAGTTTTCGGGATGTCTTCTTCGGCCACGGGAATTTGGTGGTAGGCCCGCGTCAGATCAATCTTCGAGAAGATCTTCGCGCCTTGTAGGTTCATCGTGAAATCCTGGATGTTAAGTAGAGGGTGCCTGTCCGGTACAGTGTTCTTAATCAGGGCACGAAAATCGCCACATGGCCGCCAGTCTCCATTTTTCTTCGACACTATGTGTAATGGAGACGCCCAGCTGCTAGACGAGGGTCGGATGATGCTAAGGTCTAACATGTGCTCAAACTCTTGGCGAGCATCGCGGAGCTTCTCTGTTGCTGGACGGCGGGGACGACAGTAAACGGGTGGTCCTGTCGTCACGATGTGGTGTTGTACGTCGTGCGAGACGGGTTTTGTCCAATCAGGTGACTGAGTAAGGCTCGGAAACTTACTCGGTGAGGTCTTGAACGCTTCTTCCGGGGTCGTGCAGGCAGAGGCGTAGACTGCATTGTCGTCTGTTGCGATACCATGGATGGAAAGTCGCGTGGTGGAGTCTATCAGTCGCCTGGTTCTAACATCCACGAGGAGCTTGTAGTGGTTGAGAAAGTCCGCGCCGAGAATTCATTGACTGACGTCGGTCACCAGGAAGATCCACCGGAAAACCCGCCGGAGGCCGAGGTTAAGGGTGATCGACCGTTCTCGGTAGACTGGGATGGCGTTGTTGTTCACTGCGCGCAGAAAATAGATCGGAGTCAAGGAACGGTCGGCACGCGTTGCTGGAACTGCGCTGATCTCGGCTCCGGTGTCGACGAGGTACCGGTTCTCGGTGGCTCGGTCACACACGTAGAAAAGGCGACTT